TTTTTATTTGCAATGAAATCCAGGCTAATTGGACAAGATAGAATCAATGGAGGGGTCAGGTAAACACCGTGAGGCAGCGCTGCTTGGCATGTGAGTGCTGTTCACACGACGCGGGTACTGAACCTGCCAGCACAGCCCGCTCTCACGGGGACAGCTCTGCACAGGATAACGACACCGGCTCGTAGGCGACGAACAGCAGCTACAGTGATAATAAAGTTACGACTGCATGATTCAAGGTGGGGGAACTCAATCAGATTCAGCGCCACAGTCTGTCGCAGGCATTCTGATCAATAATCCAGCCACTACAGTGCTTGAATCTAAATGAGCCCTATTCTTTATACCATAATCCAGAGAGACCAGATTCCAGTTTTGAATACACGCATTTACTGCCTCTCCATCTCTATCTCCATCAGGAACTAGTAGTTGTAGTGCCCCCTCTAACTTACGTAGCACAAACCTCAACTTGAGCACTAACCAGGGCCTTTAAAGAGCACTAGCCTCGCTCTGGTCCTCTGCATTAGACATTAGGGATAAGGTACTGAAAAAAATGACCTGTAAATAAAACAACCGAAAAAGAAGAGATACTGTGGTTAACAACTGGAAAAATCAAGAAATGTGAAAACAGTATCTGCTCTGTTCACATGCCCAAAAGATGAATGAAAAAAGGACAGCACATCAGGATTTTTTTACATGCACTATTTGGGTATCTTTGGAGAGTACTTTGTATATATTCTGCCCTGAAGTGGAGGATCCTATTGCTTATCGTTAGCATAAGTGTGAAACAGGCTCCATTTACAGAAGAACACGTTAGCTTAGGCAGTTTGAAAATACAAAAGAGACAAGGTGAGGATAAACTGAGTATTTTGGAACAATTTTATATGTTTCATATAAACAATCAGCTTCCTAATGAGCACAGAAGTCAGGTCACAATGGATTTCCATTCCTGGCAGGAGGCTGGGAATCACCTCGGCAAGTCAGTGCTGATATTCCAAGAGCATCCCGCGCTCTCGGAGCTCTGAGCGCTGAGCACACGCTGCGCACGGACACGGGAGACACGGCACAGCCCGGAGCTCCGCAGGGAACGGGCACGGGCAGAGCCGCAGCGACCCGCGCGCTGGTGAGGAACACGACCAAAGGCTCCTGGCACCGAAGTGCAAGGCCTCGTGCTGACACATCCTCATTGCAGGATCACGGTTTTTTGTTTATGGAAAGTGAAACAGTTTTGCTGATATAAGAACAAAGCCCATTCCCCTGCCTAGAAGAATTGCTTTTCAAACTGTGGCTATTTCATACCCATAACCAGCCTGAGTTTGCTGAACTACTTTCCTTTCCACCTGACAGCTGAGACCTGTCAACTTCTGTCCTTTCTTGAGCCTCAGGCAGCTCCTGTGAGGAGGGACTGGCCCTGACCCGGCCAGCAGCGACGTGGGCAGGCCAAGGCTGGCTGAGGTGGCACTGCTGCAGCGTTGGCTTAGGCGAGAAAGGCGAAACTTGGCCACCACATTTACTTGGAATCTAGAAAGACTGCCACTACCTTGAGCCCTCTGCACTATCCTGGGAAAGGCAGCACGGCAGTGGCCATGGAAGCTGCATCTTGCTGCTTTCAGTCACCCCCAGGGAGGCAACATGAGGGGCAGGAGGGGAGCTCATCTCCAACCCGCTCCGTTGTGTCTCTCAGCCGGGGTTTGGAAGGGCTAACGCTCCCCAGGAGAGGCTCTTCCCAGCTCTAGACTCCTTAATGTTTGCATTGAGAGCTGTCCGCTCCTCCAAAAATAGTGTGTGGATATTCTGATGCAGGACCTTGTCCCAAGAATCTGGAGTAATGGAGAGTTTCCATCGTGAAGGTGGAGACTATTTTGGCGAGACACTTCTCTACAGTTCACAGGACAGCAGGAGGCTTGCAGCGCAGCCCCCCAGGCAGCCACACGACTTGTAAATGGCTTTGCCATTCCTCTATAGATTTCTCTTAGCATATAGAGCTGGAAGACCAGAAGTCTGCTTTTTGCAGCTCAGACCCACTGGGGGACGGCTGGGAACACACGGACCAAAAGGCAAATCTTCTGCTAGAATCCATAGGTTTGCGCCAACACCCTTCAGGTCCGCACAATGCCGGGCAGGATCTAAACCTCCCGGGACAGAAGCTCCAACCCTCCTGCCCCCCTGCAGGACGGGCCACACTGGTCACATCACACGTCATTAACTTCCGCCTCTAACACTGACTGCCGGAGCCGGCCTGCTGGACGACAGCGCACCGCTTCGGCGGGCGGGCGCTGCTCTGCCCCTGCCCAGGCTGGGGCTGCTCTTCTCTCACTTTCTCCCCGTCATTTCTGGGCACCTTTCCGGTGTCCACCATCTCCCCCGTTTCGGGGCGCCCTGCGCGTGCCCCGCTGCAGGCTCTGCCCGGGAGCGGAACCTCCGCGGGCGCACAACGCAGCTGCGCGTGCTGCCCGAAACCAAACCGCTGCTTACAAGGATTATTACCTTCCAACTGTGTTCAGCCTAATTTCCTTTGTGCAACAACATGTTTAATTGCAGAGATTCTAATTTACTGCTGCAGAGCCCAACCCCAACTCTAAGGATAAATTAAAGTGACAGCTAAATGGAAGTTTGGAATTTAACTTTCTGACTTATCTGATTTGATGCAAATACAAATATTTAAAACCAGACAAGGAAACAAACAGCTTGTGTCTAAGAAATTCCAGCTGGAATGAAGAAAAAAGGATTTCACAGGAAGAGAGGCTGCAACACTTAGTGAACTGCCATAATCCTCGAGGGCAGAGATCAGCAGCTAAGTACAGCACGCTGCACCCGCTCTGTGAAGGAGTTGTGCGCTCGGGTATTTCCTTGCTTTGACAAAGGACGACTTTGCTATGCTGTGAAGAAATAAAAACTCTTGATTTTTAACTCTGCTTCATACAACTCTCACATCCCCTTCACCAGGGAGAGGGGCAAACAAGAAGCCTGTTACGTGAAACAGGCTGGATCTTCAATGTGACTTGTGGTACCCTGTAGTGGCAGCCAAAAAGAAGAAAACAAGTGGCCTGCAAAGATACAGGGCAAGGAGAGTCTCTGAAATGTTCCCCACAGGCGTTAATGCTGTTTTTATTGCCAATAAGGCAACGTTTCCTTCAACTTTCTTTTAATCACGAGAAGCCCCGCACTGCTGTCTGAAGGGCAGGGATTTGCGGCCCGGCTGGGCCCTGCCTAGGCCCCTCGGCTGGGACAGGCAGGGATCAGCAGCGGCTGGTTCATCCTTGGGATCAACTATCCACGCGTGCTATTTTTGTTGAAACAGACTGATGTTAAACTCAATAAATAAGTAGAACAAAAATTAAAATCTTTCTTCAGAACCCTAGAATTCGAACAAGATTTTGCACGATCTGTTTTCCAGGCAAACGAAGCCAGCTGCCTCCCTTCTAGCGCGGCGGCTCGTCACGAGTCGGGCCTGGCGCGCAGGCGGAGGGCGGCTCTCCGGGTGCTCCGTGCTGCCGCGGGGCGCGCGGAGGCGGCGCGCAGCCCGGCCGTCACCCG